GCAATGGGTCCACCTATATCCCTATTTAAATGATTTGTTTTTTCCCTTCCCCTCCACAAATTATAACAACATCAAATCCAGTGAAAGCAGGGGTTATACTGTGGGGGAGGGACATACAAAGCAACAAAGAAATAATCTTATAAATGTGTTAGAAACAATTGCATGAAAGAAAAAAACATTTGAATACATATCTTAGGGTTCATTTCCCTAACATCAACTTAACTGACCTTTTCTTAACAAGCAGAGTTCTTAGGAATTATTTGTGGTACTCATGCCGTCATCCAATCTGTGTCATTCTGTTAGGATTTTTGGTTTAGTTACTGGTCTGTTGGTTTCAACAAAAGACACGATCTTTAATCAAGTCCCAGAATTTTTTTAAATTTATTTTATATTTTTACAAAATTCTTAAAGAGGAAGGGGTAACAATGCTTGGCAAGAAATGTACTCATTACCTTACTCATATAACTGTAACCTTCTTTACAATAAAATAACAATTTTAAAAATCCTAAACATTTCACTCAAGGCTGGGCTGGCATCTGTGTGCTATGTCCATCATTGAGTAGCTCTTCAGAATGTAAAGTGAAGGGCATATATATGTCACAGTTTGGATGGAGGACTGGATCAGTGTCTACCACTTGGTTAACAGAGAAAATGTCTTCTGCAGCCTAAAGGATGCCAAGCACTGAATTCCATCAGTCCAATCTACCCGATAATTCATCTCATCCCAGAAGAGAAATTAAAAAAGGCTAAGTAGAGACAGTATGCCTAGGGAAGCACATGGGAACTTCTCAGTCTGTAAAGCCTCTATTGACAAGAGGCACTGGAAGTGATAGCTAGTCAGGCTAGTGGTGAAGTTCAGAAAACAAACACTGTAGAAAGCCACCTGGAGAGCTTTGGAAACCAATCTTGGGTGATGTCTGACTACTATGAAGTCAGCAGAAGTTACATAATTGGTGTAGTCATCTACTAGGCTGAGACCTTAATAGATGCAATATTAGGGCAAGAATGAGGTGGATCAATTGGATTAACAGGATCTGACCCACACTTGGGATCTTAGTATGATACTCAGACAAGACTACATGTGCACATCTTCAGGAAGTAGAATAACCTGAGAGTAGAAGGTAAAGCAGCTGATTATTATTTGGTCGGTCATGGGGCTTGAACTCGGGGCCTGGGCGCTGTCCTTGAGCTCTTCAGCTCAAGGTGAGCCCTCTACCACTTGAGCCACAGCCACTTCCAGTGTTCTGGGGGTTAATTGAAGATAAGAGTCTCACAGACTTTCCTGCTCCGGCTGGCTTTGAACCATGATCCTCAGATCTCAGCCTCCTGAGTAGCTAGGATTACAGGCATGAACCATCAGTGCCTGGCAAATTAAGTATATTATTTGGAACACTCTACAACCACAGGAATTGAGAAAGCAGTTCACAGGCTTTATTGAACATATATGTGCCAAACATTATGCAAAAGACTTTAAATAGCTTCTCATTTGAAAATGTCTCTTTGGCCTAGAGACTATAATCTCCATGTTACTAATGGGCAAATTAAAGGTTGGCAAGTTTTCATAATTTGACCAAACCCAACTTGCTGGCAAGTATAAGAGTAGGGTGTTGAGCCTGGTGAGTATGACTAGCAATAATAACTCTGGCCACTTTCCCCCCTGCTTCTTGCTGATGGAGGATCATCACCGTTTTTTGAGTAGTGCAATAGAGGAATGCAGAATCTGTCTGCTCTATTCTAAGGAAACTAAATGTTCCCATAAGAAAATCAACTGATATCTCCCTAAACTGAGTGATACCAGTGAATGAAGAAGAATCTGCTGGGTGTTCTCAGAGATCTCTGTGTGGATTATACATGCTCAATCTCCAAATGAAAGCAAAGAAACCAAGCAACCTAACAGGAAAGGAAGTCAAGTCACATTTTCTTAGATACTCTATAGGTATATTCTTGATTATCTCTAGTAGTTTTACTTTTCATTGTAACAGTTGGAAAAATCAGTTCTTTTTTTTTAAATTTAATTTAATTTTATTTGTGAACATACTGTACAGAGGGGTTACAATTGCATGGGCAGGATAATGCGTACATTTCTTACCAAGCATTGCAGCCTCCTCCTT